TGCACTCGGCACAGCGACGAGTGCCCACGACACGCGGTTCGCCGACGCGCCGCTTTTGAGCCGCAAGGTAAACGCCAAAGACGTGAGGAGTATCAATGTATCAAGAAAAATCGTAGCACCAAGTGAGCTGGTCGGGTGTGCGGGCGCTCAAGGCCGACATTTCGCGGCTTCGACACGTGCTCCAGGACAAGGAAGACCGCATCGGAAAGCCGCAGGCCGCTTTGGACGCGGTGTTGGCGCAGATTGCGTCGCTCCTTCAACCTCGCGCCCAGGACGACGATGTCGCGGGGTCAAATCCGGCTCGGGACCACGCTGTGCCGCATGCGATCGCGTGCTCTCTCGACGATGTGAGTGCGCTCGAGCGCGTCTTTTGCACGTCGCGCGGCAGCAACGTTCCGCACCCCGCGATCTGCTACTTCTTGCGGCACGTGCTTGCGGCGCCAGACGAGGCACCCGACAAGCCGTGAGTCCCTCCTCGGTCAAAATTCGCAAAAATCGCAAAAATCGCAAAAATCGCAAAAATCGTACTTTTCCTCCACCAAGACGTGCAAAGCGGTACGAGGGGTACTGAAGAGTTCCTCAGGGCGGTACGCGATACAAACGGCGCCCTCTCTATCGAAACACGGTCGTGTGCTGGAGGCTGCTCAGCAAGAGTAACAAGAGGTCCTAACACGAGGCCACTCTCGACACCAGATACCACAGTCGCATGCAATTACCTGCAACACCTTGTCGGACGGGCCCTGCTTGCGCTTTTCAAAAATGAGCGTCAAGTAGACGCACGCGTCGACGCGAGCCACCGCATACGTACTCGCGGGCTTCTTCTCGTGGTGGATCGTTCTATGATTGCAATGAGAAAACCAATCGCAGCGCGCATCGAATACATGGGCGACGTGTGGGCCGTCTTGGCCTTGGCGTCCCACGGCGGAAGGTCCTGGAGCAGGCCCACGAGGTTGGGAAAGTGCCGCGGCACAAAGTGCTCGGGCGGCTCGGCCTTGGGGTAGCAGTAGACTAGCGAGGATTGCGTGGCCGATGCATCTCGGAAATCCACGAGGACGTACCGACGGGAAACGACGCAACACCCCACAGCGGCGCGAATTCCCCGTGAATGTCTTCGTCGTAGCGCGACACTTTACCGAAATACGTCTTGTTGGCGGCGCGAATCCGGTTTGCCGACGACTTTTTCGGGCCCGCGATCGTTTGCGACGGACAGAGGTAGCCTTTGGCGTGGAAGGCGCCCGGAGGAAGGGCCGCCGCGTCGAGCACGAGCATGAGCTGCGCGCTCTCGCTGTGGTCGCGCAAGACTAGACACGCAGTCGTTCATGCAAGCCCGATCGCAGTTGCAACGTACAGTGGCGAGAAAAAAACGTATCGATGAGCTCCGTGTACGAAAGGCCGACGTGGTTGACGATGGATTTCGGCGCCGGCAAAATGCCCCGCGGCTGCATGTGTCCGTCGATTTGGTCGAGCCACTAGTGAGATGTATTTGACATGCGGTATGGCATCCTTGCATCCGCGTACTCTGTGAAAGTAGAGCGTAAACTTGGCGACGAGCGACTGGAAGAGCTTTTTGGACCACCGAAAGAGCGGCAGCACGATTGCGTCATCTAGACACGTCACGATGACATACCATTTGATTGACGTGTCGGCAGACGCACCAAACGGCACGGCGTGCTGCGAGTTGGAGAGCGAGTGCGCACTGGGCTGCAGCACGTTCGACGACGACTCGCCACGCTTTAGAAGCTTTGCGATCGGATGCGGCTTGGCACTACATTGGCAGTAGTGTCTCTCAGTGGATAGACTGCAGAACGCTTTGGATGGATACCTTAGGTGCACCTTGTTTTCCAACGACGGGCGGCCTGGCGGCGTCGGGAGCACGCGGTCCGAGTTGCGGGATGTGCGCGAAGTGCGCAGATCCGTATTGGTGGCGTCCGGTGACTCGTCGTCGTCGTCGTCGGCTTGGTCCAAAAGGTCGGCCCACACGCCGAGCTGCCTAGTACATGCACCAACATCGTCGCCTCGCTCCATACGACAAGACGCACTGTTTGAGCTTGTGCAGCGCCATGATCGAGTGGAGGTAGTTGTACTGCGAGAGCATCATCTCGCACTTGAGCGCGGCGCGAATCGTTTGCACCTCCATCGTCGCCGCCGTTTGAAGCGCCTATCAACATGATCGTCTCTGCGATCGAAATGGCGTGCTCGCGTACGTAGAAGAAGGGATGCTCGAGCGTGCGCAGAGCGTTTTGGATGTTTTCAAGCGACTGCTCCTTCTGGAGACGCATACATGAACAACAAACAACGTCCAGATTCAGGGGGTAGAAAGCACCTCTTTGTAGTCGAAGAGGTAATGGACATGCGGCTTCTCGCGCGCGAGGCCGAGGTAGAAGGACACGAGAAGGAGGCGTTGCTACGCACGGAGGTCGGTCCTTGCCAACAAGCACAAGAAGAATCGTAGTACCTCAAAGTACCGGCTGCACTGGTCGAGGAAGGCCTTGTACTCGACGATGCGCATGGACGGCGGGCCCTCATAAAACTGATCGAACTCGGAGAGGTTGGACGCGACCGACCCGACGCTGGACGGGTTCTCGTTGAGAAAGGTCTAGTTCGCTATGAGCACGGACGCCATGGTGGAGCTAGCGTACTTGGTCGCTCTGCCACGAAAACCTTAGCGAGTCGTAATAGCCAGAGGGGGCGACTACCGTGGGGGTGCTGCACTTGGCAGCGAGCGAATACCCGCCTTTGTCCACGTCCGACTCGGACCCGGCCTTGTCGCGCCGATGAAAATGCAACAAGTCGGCGCACACGAGGCTCTGCGTCTTGAGCTGGAGGTACAAGCTGCGCAGCGTGTCCTTGTACAAGTACTCGGGCTGCAAGTACGTCATCTTGTGGTACGTGGATTCGCAGTCGGCCCACATGTGCAGCATGCGCGAGAGGTGGCGCCACTCGCGGTTCCCGTCTTGCTCGAGCGGAACGCCGTCTTTCGCCTGCGCAGCGCCGTCATGTGACCGTCATGGCCCACCAAGTAGGAAGAGGAGCGTACGTTCTTGTAGCGGTAGTTGGCCATCGCGTCCAGGAACGACGGCAAATGCGCTTGGAGGAGCTCGCTCAGCTCGAGCTGCGCCTTGGACATGACGATGAAATTTGTTCCAACGTTGCGTCGCCGAATTTATCCGGAATTCCAAAGCCGGTATGAATTCCGGATACGAGGCAAGAAATAGGCTCCCGTCACTAAAAGTGGCATATGCCGCGTTTAAGAGCGAATATCCGGTATTTCGCGCCGAGCCAAGCAAGCGGTCCAAACGAACCGGCAGCCTTTACGATGTCCTTCCTGACTGCTGCGCTGGTAGATGACCTCGGCGAGCTCGGGCTACGTGAGGCTCATGGAGCCTCTTCCTCTAGGGCGATGACCTGACCCGCCAGATCCACGCCTCCAAGATCTTGGTCGTCGGCGCCGGTGGCATCGGTACGTCGAGGCTCGTCGTCGTTCGCTCAGCTAGTTACTAGGCTGCGAGCTTCTCAAGAACCTCGTCTTGAGCGGCTTCGTGGACATTACGATCGTGGACCTCGACACGATCGATGTGTCCAACTTGAACCGGCAGTTCCTCTTCCGCTCGCAGCACGTGGGCATGAGCAAGGCGATCGTGGCCCGCGAGGTCGCGCTCCAGTGTAGCTCGCTGCTCGATGCTCGTTGGTCCTTAAACCTCCTATGCATGTAGTCAATCCGTCGGCCAAGATCACGGCGCACCACGAAAACATCAAGTCGAGTCGGTACGCGATCGAGTACTTTGAGCAGTTTGCGCTCGTGCTCAACGCCCTCGACAACGTCGACGCGCGCAAGCACGTCAACCGGCTCTGCCTCGCGGCCAACGTCCCGCTCATCGAGAGCGGCACGACCGGCTACCTCGGCCAAGTCTCGGTCATTAAGAAGGGCGAAACCGAGTGCTACGAATGCACGGAGAAGGCGACAGCCAAGGTGTACCCGATCTGCACGATCCGCAGCACGCCCGACAAGATGGTGCACTGCATTGTCTGGGCGAAGGAGTGCTACAAGCTGCTCTTTGGGAAGACACAGGACTCGATGCTCTGGGAGGACCCGACCAACGACGACAAGTCGGCCTTCATGGACAGCATCCTGGCGCGGGACCTTGCGCCGACCGAGTATGCGCGCGGCGTCTTCCGCGGTCTCTTTGAGCACGAGATTCAAAAGAAGCTCGACATCAAGACGTACAAGACAGCGACCAAGATGCCCCGGACGATCGTTCTCGACGATCTCTCGCTGCCGCCGCCGCCCGTCGACAAGTGGCACGACCGCATGCTCTGGTCGCTCGACGCCTGCGCGCAGACGTTCCTCGATACGGTCGCCACGATTCTCGCATCCAACGACGACGTCGGGAGCCTCGAGTTTGACAAGGACGATGCGCACGCGATGCACTTTGTCGCGGCCGCCGCCAACCTCCGCGCGCACGTCTTCCAGATTCCGATGGAGTCGCTGTTTGCGTGCAAGGGCATCGCGGGCAACATCATTCCAGCGATCGCAACGACCAACGCGATCGTCGCCGGCCTCCAAGTGCTCGAAGCGTTCAAGCTCATTCGTCTCTCGCTCGAGACGACCAAGTC